ATGGTGATGAGTGTATAAACAGAAATTCATCGAAATGTGATCAATTTGACTAACTGAACTGGATAAATTAGACTCGTATTAGCACTGACTGGTATTTCATCTCTATCATTACCCTATTTAACCTCGCCTGGTTAACTAGTTTACTAGTTACTAGCCGGTCCTAAGCCCGGGTAAAGAGGGAAGGTTGGGCATAGGGCTAGCAACCCTACCCCGTAAAACAAATCTAACCGCTAAACAAACTTCAAAGCACAAACAAAATATAAAAAATGAAAACAAACTTATTCCCCGCTGGAATCGGAGAGGCGAAATGACGCCAGTTGGTGAAAGCCTTCGGGAAGCCAATTGGCCGATGTGTCTTCTCTCTCGATGAAAGCGAAAGTAAACGTGGGGACATGGAATGTCCGCACGATGTTTGAACCCAGTAAGGCAGCCCAGATTGCAAAGGAGATGAGAAGGTATAACATCGAAGTGCTTGGGATTTGCGAAAGCAGATGGAATGGGAGTGGACTCTCCAAACTGTCAACTGGAGAATCAATAATCTACTCCGATATTGTCACCCAGACGCCAACCACGAGCACACTGAGGGAGTGGCTATCATGATGTCCTCAAGAGCATCGAAGGCTCTCATGCAGTGGGAACCAATCTCCTCCAGGATCATGACAGCAAGATTCAACTCAAAAGGAAGAAAGGTCACAATCATACAATGTTATGCACCTACAAATAATGCAGAGCAAGAGAAAAAGGAGGAATTCTACAGACAACTTCAATCAACACTGGACAAGACGTCAGTTGGCGATATCAAAATTCTAATGGGCGACATGAATGCCAAACTGGGAGGGGACAACACGGGAAGAGAACTAACCATGGGTCGAGAGGCGCTAGGTGAAATGAATGAGAATGGAGAATTGTTTGCAGAATTCTGTGCATTCAACGATTTGGTGATTGGAGGCAGTGTGTTCAGGCACAAGGATATCCACAAAGCGACATGGATTTCACCAGATGGACACACTAAAAATCAAATCGACTTTATCTCAATCTCAAGAAAATGGAGACGCAGTCTACTTAACACAAGGTCAAGAAGAGGAGCAGATGTAGGTTCAGACCACTATCTAGTGCAAGGAACCTTCCAAATCAAGTTAAAAGCCTTCAAGGAAGCTGGTGATAGACCTCAATTCAAGTACAACACTCGGAAACTGAAGGATGAAACTACAAAGGAGATCTTCAAAGCAGCCATCAAGACAAAATGGGAGACGTCGAGGGACATCCCTGAAGAAACCTGTGTGGAAGAACACTGGAAGTCTTTGAAAGCTATGTGGAAAGAAACCTGCACAACAGTATTAGGAAGGAAGAAGAAAGAAGACAAGGAATGGATCTCGACGGATACCTGGAAGCTGATAGAGGAGAGGAGGATGGTGAAGCAGAAGATAAACCAGTGCAAGGATGCTCAACGACAAGAGGAACTGAGCACAATGTATAAAACACTTGGACAAAGAAGTGAAGAAGAGTGCACGCAAAGACAAAAGACACTTCTACGAAACACTGGCAAGTGAAGCAGAACAGGCTGCAGGTAGGAGAGAGAGACCTGACGACATTGTATCAAATAACCAGGTTGCTATCAGGGAAGAGACCAACACAGATGAAACCAATAAAAGATGAAGAAGGAAATTTAATTACGAAAGAAGAGAAACAGAGGAAACGATGGGCCGACCACTTCAAGAAGCTCTTGAATCGACCACCACCTGCACTTCGTCCAGAAATACCACCTGCAGCCGCTGAATTACAAGTGAACATAAATCCCCCAACGAAAATGGAAGTCCTGAACGCCATAAAGCTACTGAAATGCGGGAAAGCAGCAGGACCAGATGGAATACCGCCAGAAGCACTGAGAACAGATGCAGAGACAACAGCGGACATGCTCACACCACTATTGCAGAAGGTGTGGAAGGAAGAGAAGGTACCTGACGATTGGAAGAAGGGTTACCTTGTCAAACTGCCGAAGAAGGGAGACCTCAGTGCTTGCAAGAACTGGCGCGGAATCACTCTCCTGTCCACCCCAAGTAAAATATTAAGCCGCATCATCCTGGAGAGGCTTAAAGACGCACTGGATTCAAAACTGCGACCGGAACAGGCAGGCTTCAGGAAGTACAAATCATGTGCTGACCAAATTGCAACGCTTCGTATCATCATAGAACAGAGCGTAGAATGGCAATCAGCTCTCTACCTCAACTTCATCGACTTTGAGAAGGCCTTTGACAGCGTCGACCGAGAAGTAATTTGGAAACTGCTTCAATACTACGGAGTACCGCAAACCTTTATCCGCCTCATTCAACAACTATATGAAGATGCCACATGCCAAGTAATCCACAATGGGAAGCTCAGTGATGCCTTTGAAGTGAAGACAGGAGTGAAACAAGGTTGCCTACTATCCCCCATGATATTCCTTATTGTGGTGGACTGGATCATGCAGCAAACAGTAGGCAGCGAGAAGAGGGGGATACACTGGACGACGGAAAAGAACCTAGAAGACTTGGATTTCGCCGATGACTTATGCCTAATGTCACATAAACTTGAAGATCTGCAGGCAAAAACTAACAAGTTGACAGAGGAGGCAGCTAAGACGGGACTTCAGGTGAATATAGAGAAGACAGAAGTGATGAAGATACCGCACCACCACCATCAACAACAACAACAACAAACTCCAATCACCGTCAACGGGAGAAACTTGAAGGAAGTAACCTCCTTCACTTATCTAGGAAGCACTGTTTCAACTACAGGCGGGACGGACGAGGACGTCAAAGTCAGAATCGGAAAAGCAAGACAGGCGTTCATTAGCCTGAAACCAGTGTGGAGATCTTCTGCACTCAGCATGTGGAACAAGATACGGATTTTCAACACCAACGTCAAGTCAGTGCTCTTGTATGGCTCAGAGACTTGGCGCGTCACGAAAGGCATTTCCAATAAACTACAGACATTCATCAACAACTGCTTACGCTCGCTGCTGAAGATCAGATGGCCAGAAAAAATAAGCAACAAGGAACTCTGGGAACGAACCAACCAAGAACCTATCACGCAACAAATATGCAGGAAGAAGTGGAGATGGATTGGCCATGCACTGAGAAGGCCGACTGAGGACATCACGCGTCAGGCCAGTTGCTCGAGTGGAATCCCCATGGGAAGCGACGAGTTGGACGTCCGAGGGTGACATGGAGGAGGTCGTGCGAGGAGGAAATGAGAGCTTCTGGGCTGTCGTGGAACCAGGTTCAAAAGATCTCAGAGAACAGAGGTCACTGGAGGCGTGCTACTGAAGCCCTATGTTCCACTAGGAACCCAAGGGACTAATAATAATAATAATAATAATTACCCTATTTGTTGACCAGGTATTTTACTTGATATGATGTTAGTGGTATTATCCCGTCATTGATTGAACCGAAGTGATCGGTCTCCAATGGCAAAGATTACACTTGTCACTTGTATTACCCATGGCACAAGTAGTTGCAATCGTGACTTGGCGGTCTGGTGAATAACACTCTTGCTCTTAGAGCTATTAATTCAGGGTTGGAGACCTAATGGGAGCAGCATGACTCATTGATGCGTTCCAAATAGGACGAGACGCCCGTCCTGGATTCCACTGCTAACCACTATCTATCACAACTATGAGAGGTATTTTACTGATCTTCTGTTAAAAGTTCTTACAAAAGCTCTGCTCAGTTAATGGGTTATATCATCCATAAAAATCAACTTTTGTCTTTGAATTCCTTTAATCGACTATTTTACTGTGTCGAAGAGAATTTCTTCGTGAAATAGTTAAGTTTCACTCTTTAGAACTGCATTCTGTTTAGCTAATTCATGATTTTACCCACACGAATTTGAAGTGATATACAGGAAGCAATTCACTCAATACTGAGTAACCGATGAAGAATGAAAATAGATGGGTTGTGCTGTTTTTATTCAGCCTAATTTACTTCCGTTTCATAAGCTTTTTTCCTTTGTTAAGGTTTAGGTTTGTAAGCAGAAGACTTTTCTTGATAAGCAGATTAAATAGCAGAATATAGCTATTGAAAACCTTCAAAACTGGTCAACTATTACACTTCTTGTCAAGAACAGTGAGTGCTTCATCTGAAAATGAAAATTTCCCAAGTTTGTTCCACTTCCCTATTGTAATTTTCCAATTTCTAATAAAAGATCAGTATTCAAGAATATTAAGGGGATGATACACCATAATCTTGGTTCATTCTCAATAGGATTCTTTGTTAAGCATGAAGTAGAAATGTGTAGTTCACTTCTATAACTCTTTAAAATAATAATGTTTAGACATCTCCAAATTAATCGAATGAATATGAAGGTATTCCTCTTGGTTTTAGTGCTTCATTAATGTCCTTTCATCAACATATAGAATTTTAAATCGATGTCAGAATGCCAGTTCAGTTTGTAGTTGGTTAGTGTACAAGATGATTCTCCTTAATGTTATCAGTAGAAGTTTTATGTTTATCTGTCATCTCACTGACTATTCTCATATATTATTGAAAAATCTGGTGGTGGAACGTTGCAAACATTGACACAATCTCCGAAGATGAAACCATTTTTCTGTAGAATTCATGCTGTCAATTTTGTCAGTTTCAAATGCACCTTTTATACTAAATTAAACCTATTTATGATAAAAAAGAGTGAATCATTTGAAGAGACTGGTTTATTCATAGAGCCAAACATAATATTAGAATGCTCCAGTCATTTGACGTATTCCAATGAACTATAGGGCGGATAGTTTAGCAAACCTTGGGAATGAGCTTGTATGACTCATTGTATAAGATGCACTTCTATTTGTATGATCCCGGCGTAGAAATAAATAACAAAATCAACAAACATTTTGTATTATTCCTCAACGTTTCCATCCTGTTAGGAAGATCCGTTTTGAGACTATGACTTTGACATTAGGCTTTCTGGTTAGCACTGACGTTTGATATAGTTGGTGTCCCTAATGATCATGATAACAAAGATCAGTTCAATGTGGGTGTGTAATTTATTAGGTTGGACACAGAGGCTTATTCCAGTGGTACAAGTATGGTAGGACAAAATTAGGGTGAGGTAGTCTAGTTGGACTGTGAAATGTACAAAAAGTTGTGAGTCATCAGGCATAAGTACTGTTTTGGAAGGATGGATTTTTAAAAAACTATATATCGTGGGGAAAATTATTATCATTTGACAATCTAAGATAATCGTAGTTTGGCACTCTAGTATTTATACTGGGTGATGATTGAAAGTGAAATGAAAATTTGGATCGCTGCCAGATCCAAACTAGTGACCACCGGGTTTCTGGCATGATGCCCCCTCTCTAAATCAGTTGGATTTAGATTTGGTAGCGCGGCAAAAATTCACACAGTAGTCAGGCTAAATCCTTGGCGACTGAAGCGAAATAAAAATCTGGTCAAACGTCGGACCTTGTAACTCAGTTGGTAGAGCATTGGGCCAGAATCCAGTGGTCACTGATTCCAATCCAGCCGCAGTCCAAATTTTCACTTCACCTTCGATTAATCCCCCAGTATGAATATCTGTTAGGTCAAAAAATTGTTATCGTATTCATACTCTTGAAAAAGGATCTCCGTAGAGAGATAAAAACTTTGAGAAGTAGTACAAACTAGTTGTTCATTTTGTCATGTATTCTAATATACTACAGCGGGATTAAACAAGTAAAATACACGTTATACAATGAATAGTCCAATCATTGTTTGGCATTGGTGTTAAGACATTTTTATTCTAACTTTATAGTGCTGTCATTATATTTCTGACTTATTTTACAAGCACTAACTTTATTATTCGATAGGTAATTGACGAAATTATCCACAAATTCATGGCAATAAACTTGATCAAAGCATCTCGAAAAAATTTAACTCTTAATTATTAAATCATGAGTATAGACAAACATACATTAATCCACAAATAAGTAGACCAGTAGTTACAAACTAAGGAACAAACAAAATAAAATAAAATCAAAATCAAACGGAAGAAAGGCTGTCATGGGTTGTTTTAGAAAATGAATGATAAAACTGAAAAGGAATATTTTATTGTTCATTTAATTTATTTTAAATTCTTCAATAGGAATGGTTAGCTTGTTGGACAGAAAAATGCTAATTAATTAAACTGATGTAATATCAGGTAAATATCTAAGATGTGATAAATCATTAGCACTCTCCGATTCAGGGATAATATCACACTCATCGTCGTCATTACTGTTTAGAATAAGATATCTTCTTAGTCCGCTATCAACATTTCTTGTATTAACAGTATTCATGCTGTGATTGATGTTATTATCCACTGTCTCACCAGTAAGGCTTCTATTATTCAAAAATAATCGTAGATGTTCTTGTTCAGGAACTAATTGTACTGAAATTTCATTTGACGTGCTAGATAACTCATTTTTTGTAAGAAAATAGTTTTTGCCGGTTTGTGAAGGTGTCTCATTGAAATCACTAATAGTAGTATTGTTGTTAGTGACAGTATTAGTAGTACTTTTGTTACTTCCACTGTTATTTGAAGCGTGTACTGAATTCAGTTCGACTGATCGTGATGTAAACAGAGAAAATACTGTGCATGAGTCTTGTGCAGGTGACATAGATCTTTTTTCATGCATTTTCATTGGCCCATGAATATTTTTTAATGAGAAGTTAATATAGTACTCATTTTGCATATCAACAGTACTTAATTGGTTCATTATATGATTATTTGGTAATCTTTGAATACAGTCTGCTTGTTCATTATTGATAAATCTGTAACCAGTATTCTTATTACTACTTATTTCTGGTGTAACATTTTTATGTGATGATCTCATGTTCTGCATTAGTGCTGAGTGTACTCGTAAAACTTGATAGAATTCAGCGCGAAATGATTGATTTAACCAGCCATATAAAATAGGATTTATGCAAGCCGAACTTAGTATCAGCAATAAACATACAGCTTGCGTAATTAAAACAGTAATAGCATTAATGTTATTTGCTTCGATACTCATTATCTTATTGATAGCTTTTAAACTTGTGGTGGAATGTTGAAACATTGACTCACTAGAAGTAGATTCAATGTTCACTGTGTCATTGTCCAGTACTTGTTCTTCAACATCATGATACTTTAGATTTGTCAGTGCTACATCAATACTAGTTATGATAACCAATTCTCTTATGTCACTAATCACATTTAGAGTATTCATTGGCAACCAACTTAAACAGAAAACAATAGCAATCACTGTTGACAGAATAATCGCTTTACGATGCCGACGATCTATAACCTCCTTCTGTGATGATGCCAACATTGTTGTCAACGGTTGGATAGCTGAACCTTGTTTATCTGATGTAACACGTTTATGATAATAAGGACACTTTGCATTACTTGGAGCATACATATCATAATTACCATTATTAGTAACATGACAGTCTTTATTTGTATTCAAACAAGCACTTTGATTACTTTTACTATTTGTATCCATCACTAACTCATACTTGTCATTTGGTTGCTCGGTAGTATTTCGTACAATCTGTGATAAGCAAATTTTTTGCATTGCACGCAACTTACGATCGCGTATACTTAAACAAATACGATAATAGACAATAGTTACAATAACTAATGGTGACATATATTGAATAATTAATGCAGCTAACGAATAGGCTACTTTAAACTTTTGAGTAATGGGATTCTCTGCCTTTTCAGTGCATTGCAAATGATTTAACTCAGTTATACGTGAAAAGTAAACTAATGGACTGGCTAGGAAAAATGCAATAATCCAAGTTAAATAGTTCACATTGACTGCGGTATTGTTGCTCCCACGATTGGCTGTTGGATATATGATACACTGAAATGGAGAAAAATAACGGATCAAAACATAGATCACGAAAAAATAGTCAAAAGATTAACAATTTTATTTCAGAACGATCATACAAGTATTATTATTTGGTGAGAATTTGGTCACTTACGGTTATTTGCCGTAAGTGAAGAATGTTTCGCTCAGAGAATGCACACCAACAGATGTAAACTCACAAGGTATGACAAGGTTTATCGATCAGGATGAAGTAAGGTGATTGTAAAAGAAGTGACGTACTGCTCTTTAGAAAATTAGACCAATGGAATGAGTAGAGTAGATTGCATGCTAATTTGAAGAATGCAGCGAAAGTTACTGCCGAGTTGTATGCACATCCTTTAGGAAAATTTAAATAGTTTCTAAAGGACTTTGAATCATATGCTGTTGTGCTTCGCAACAGACATGATCATGAAAATCCACACAAATGTTGTTACGTGGTAGTGAATAGTGTCATACAGCAATCCTCAATGTTCAGATTTCAGTAATCATGAAAATTAGTGTGTTAACATACATAAACAAAACACTGCACTATGATACGTTGTCTGGAAAACTTGATAAACCTGGCATTGCATTTAAAAGGTTAACTCAACATAACTAACAATTCACTCATTTCACATATCAGTACATCAAAAACAGAACTTAATGTGATCGGCCACAAATTGCTGTCACGTGGTCATTGTCTGAAAATTCTGCTGGCTGAAATGATTTCATAACTGATGGTTAGCGCTGGAAAATCAGCCTTGAGCATCACAACTCACTTAACAGAATGATCAACCATAGAAGGTACTTTTTCGATGCATCTCCTGAAAACTCATACATAGTTGTCGGTTCGAAAATTCACTGTGGTGTGATTTATTGCCAACTGCTTCAGGGTATTAAATATACTAGTCTCAGCAATAAGGACAAGAAAATGTGACGACAGTAACCTCTCACCATCCAGCTGATGACATTGCATTTGCATGCATATATAGAGTTGCTTCAGTATTTATTCCCTTTCATTTATGGATCCAGGGAGTGAATAATGTAGCTGTAAGAGTTTACGTGTTCAACAAATCTTGTTGATCAATTTATCGATTCCATCATTGAGTTGAGTGTGATAGGAGTGTGTTGGATAATAAGACTCAGGTGTTAGGAAGTCACTTGTTGATATTCATATTCCTTTTTGAGCATCAACTAAGTGTACTGAAAAACTTAGCTGAAGCGTGTGTCACTTAAATAGTATATTCCTATAGGTTATCGTCAAGTACTAAATATGTATTTATTTTTACTCCCGCATAATGTTAACTATGTTATGAATAGACTAATTGTGATATCTCTTAATTCAGCCCTGAATGACAAAGTCTGAAATCATAAAGGTAAAGATATTCTCCTTATTATCGCAGATACGTCTTACTGGCATATAACAGCAAACTTGAAAACTGATTTCAGTGCTTCCTGATAATCAACCTCGAGAGGTGAATAGGAAGTAATTCTTGTAAACGGTTAGAAAATGTACCACTCTTCAGCAAAGAAAGTGTTAATTATTAAGTCGCTAGTCTGAACATGATAATAACTGGTATTATTTTTTGTGATTCTGATATGAATACAAGAAGTTAAAACGCATCAAAGTGTATGAGTTGAAACACAATGTACATTGGATATTTTAGACTAAATTAATGAAGTAGAATAAAAGATAAATAATTTTTTGCATCCAACTATGTCTGTTTATGTTTCAGTAAAAATTAAGTTTTCAATCATGTGACTGAGCATTGAAAAACGGAAGATTTTCCTCGATTTATTTTTTCGTCTAGTCTGAGTAGATCAAATGGAGTATAACTTTAAAACCCACACAAATGACTGCTAACATCTGGCATAGAAATATATAGAATTTATCAGATATCTGTGTATAAAGTTTTATTCAAACCACTAGACACATACTAACATAAAAAAAGAAAGGCCTGGAACTCAAGAAAGGGTTTTCTTTCAGTTTTAAGTCTCACATTTATTCATTTTACCCCATGGTAGAATCAATGAAGACTGAAATTGGAAGAAACAAATGGGGTCCATAGTGAGCAACTGTCTTCCTTGGCTAAAATGGGTCCAGTTTATGTAAAATATTTTCAAGGACCTCACTTTAGAGGCGAAAATTCATTGAAATTTCAGTTATCATTTGAAATGCAGGTTCTGAATAAGTACATATGGTAGCTTTTTAGCTTGTATCCAAAAAATCTTTTCTATTTAGCTGTTCAACTGTCTAGTCCTTTTGTTAAATCGGTTGTATGTTTCATCATTTTGATTTCATTTGTTGAAAAGTTATTTATTAAATGGTTGATTTCCTTGTCTGGATAGACAGTCATGTCTTTTTTGTATCCAAGTGAAGTTATGTAATTAATTAAACGAAATGGATTAGGGTATACTTTGGGAATTTGAGCACCTTAACAGTAACATTTGGCTATTTCCAGTCTATTGCATCGGAGAGAGTTGATCACAAGTTCCATGATTTGTTTTAGCCAAATTTGATTTTCTGAAGCCTACTCATCAATTTTAGCAGATGAGTAAGTAGCTGAAATGTTATCTTAACTAATTTAGAGTTTAGTTCTTTTGCCTGTACATCTAGGATCCATAAATGTTTCTTCTTACGTCATTTCTGAACTTCCGGAATCTGGTTTTCTTATTTCATTCCTTAAAATACAGACTTTCAGGTTTGTATTTGACGTTTATTTTATGACTCTTCGAATATTTTCACGCAACTTGGATTTATTTTAATTCCCGAGGTTTTGCAAAACACAATTTATCATGGTTTTCTAAGCTCAGGGAAACCAGTGAACTCATATCCTTTTGTTTGATTGCATTTCATGTAAGGAGTTGCTTTGCGCCATCGGATAACAAGATTATCTGACGTAGTGATATTGAACGTTTTACATAGTTTATAACGCTAAAAAATTTTTTTATAGCTGAAAATTGGATACCTAGGTGAGCACAATAAATCTTCTAGTAAATTCATGTGTTTGTTCGATTAACCCACTTTTTGTGGTTTTATTAATGTCTTACTGGCTTTTGAGATCTTTTCAATATCAGCAAAGATGATTTTTTGTTCAGCATTGATGACCTTTGCCTGACTAGCTGCTGACAAGCATAATTTCTATTTTTGTCTTCTGATGATTTGTGATAACGTGAGTGTGTTTTTTCTTGCGGCCGCTTATTCCATTCTCCTTAAGCGAGTTATTCCTCTTGTCATTGGCTTTTACGAATGACATTCTCTTGTTTTTACTAGAAAATTGTTCCTTGATTTATTCAGTATTTCGTATGAGTGTGCTGGATTACCAAGCTCTGCAGTTTTTATGATTATTCTAAAGTCTAAGGTAATCAAGATTTTCAAGAACATATAATTGTGTTTATTTCTTTTCATTCAGTGAATGTGATTTGCGAGAAGAAATTGCCTGTAGGATTAGATCTTTTGTTTCGCTCCTTATAAAATTACAACAGCGTTATTCACATGACAGATAAGTTGTATCAAAGTGATCAAACATTCTGCCGTGGCCATTTATTTCTGCAATACATTTCTGAAATACGTATTACTAGGAACAGTTGTTTCCTATATGTTTGTAACTCTGGCGATTAAACAGAAGTTCTGCAGCTGGATATAAGTTGATAAGTTGGAAACTGCTATCTTAGTATGGTGTCAAATTTTCATCATTTGTCAATAACCGGACAGTTATTCACTAGTCTAAATCTAAGCGTCTAGGAGCGTAGGAATACATGAAGATGATTTGTATTTACAGTTTCTCGAGGTGAACCCTGATATTTTCACTCTACAAAAAATAAGTTGCTGGGCTATTTGAGTTTAGTGACTTTCAGAAGAGATATTTTGAATTTTGCAACGTGAAATTTAACTAGTATGTAAGTAGGTTCTCTCAAATGTTTGTGAGCCAATCCTAGCGGAACACGTTATACACATATGACATATATGAGCTCTGAATAGATTGGAAACGATCAATTTAATTTTACGCTGATGTGATTTTATTATTTCTCATTTTGTAGGAACCACATTCAAATGTTGCTAGATCTATGATACCTAAGTTATGTCAAACAATGAATTCATGATAAAGGTTCAAAATGATAAATACAATTTGGAATAAGAAAAACACAGCGTTATTTGACTAAGAAGATGCAGTGTTGCACGCAAATCCACTATTTGTCAGAGAAATTTCAAAAGCCATTTCTCTCTTTGAACCAATTGTTCTTATGAAGCAGTTTAGTAGAAATACACCTACTTTAAGAGCTGTCAAGTAGCAAAATGCTTAGAAGTTAAAATATGATTCTTCATAAATTATTTCATAAAACTGCAAAGTCACTAGCTTTTTTGATTTTCTTGAAAAGCTAACTTACAGATAATTTTGCTTGGTGCTTAGATGTGGATTCAATAAAGATGATGCATTATCAAATGATCAAAATGTTCCCACTGTCCAGAACTAGATCATTATCATGAATTTTGAGCTTGTATGAACTTTTTAGTAATATGCGATTGAAATTAACCACTGTGAAGACAATCATAACATGAATCAAGGATCATTACATTTCACATCAAAAAGCCTATAGTTGACTTCCATTTTTTGTTCCTCTGTCGTAGGTTTTCAAGAACGATGTGCTACATAGAAAACTGCTGAAAACATATTTCTAAGGAATTCTCAGGGAGTTGTGGGGATTTGGAAATATTGCAAGTTGTTATTCATCGTAGCCTGATGGTCGTGAGGACAGTTACTCAACGATAACATTGGGTAGTGGTTGCGCTATATCATGAGCTAACAGAAGTTGGAAATATGAACATTGGATTCTGACCCAGTGGCTCAATGATAACGTGCTGACAACGGAACCTGAAGGTAGCGAGTTCAGTCCCTGACAGGGTCGTGGGTGAGCACTGCTGAGGAGTCCCATACTAGAACGAAACAGCTGTCCAGTGCTTCCAGCTTTCCATTGTTCCTCCAACTGATATCAGTCTGCGATGAAAAACAACC